TTTGGATGGAAACGTAGCTACAGACACAGACTTTTAAAATAAGAGCGTATCCTAAAGATGATGATATGATCGATGTTTTCACTTTGCATTTATGATACTGGCTCGTTCATCACTGAATCGATATATCGATCCACACTGATGGATCATTACACCCCAAATGGTAACCACCCTGATAACCACCTACTTGCAAGAGCGTTCACCAGCTGCAATGACAGGCAGGTGAGCAAGCTAGCTTGTTGTTGCATACAGTAGCAAGACAATGGTAATCATTCAGATGACCAAAGGTTTCTACATATTTGGACAATTAAGCAGTCATCTGAAGTTTGATGGAGATCCAGTTTTTCTTCTGGCTGTCCTTATAGGTTGCTAGGACCGTAACTGCAGGTATTCAGACACCAGTCATCTCCTCCATCTTGTCTTTTTTCTGCCTCCATGATGCCCACTACTTGATCTGCCAAAGCCAGGCAGCAACCGCCAGAAATTCAACACAGTGAACTCTGAACAGCAGAGCAAAATCTGTGCACATCCATGTGGGTGGCAACCGCTTCATACCCCTACTGCCGTGTAGAAAACCACTTCCTCTCTGTCACCTTCCTCTCACCAAAATGACTGAAGGCGACGAGTTACCACACGGCAGTGTGAAAGCCCCGTACATTTATTGCCATCTGCTTGGAAACCACCATGAATCTATAAAATGAAATTCAGTTTGAAACACCACAAATCCAAATCTGAGAGCGCGTGAAAGATGTCACTGACATATGGTATTTGCAAAAAGAATATGTGGCATACAGTATCCGTAAATAATGTGCACAACGTACAATAAATGAAACAATGTGTAGTAAAAGACAATGATTCTTTGGTAGTGTTTACCAGATGGCAGCAGAGAAAGTAGGGAGTGAGCTGGGAAACACACATCTGTAACAGTAATACAGAACTCCGCAAATATACAGCATATTCTTATGTTTATGAGATGTACGTCATATATAAAACATATTAGACATGAAACACTACTTTTGCCTCTTTTTGTGCCTCTGCATCAGCAACAGCCCTGGATGGAGGTATTATGTGTTTGGGTCCATCTGTCCAATTCTCTTGAACATGATATCTCAAGAATGCCTTGAGGGATTTTTATTTTTATTTTAATTTGGCACAAACGTTCAGTTGGACTCAGTGGTGAACAGTTTAGATTTTGGTGGTCATAGGTCAAAGACCAAGGTCGCTGTGAACCTGCATCCATCCCATTTTCATGAATGCGATATCTTAAGAATGCCTTGAGGGATTTTTTTTTTCAAATTTGGCACAAACATTCACTTAGACTTAATGATGAAGGAATTAGATTTCTGTGATCATAGGTCAAGGTCACTGTGACCTAATCTGTCTCATTCTTCTGAATACAATATCTCCAGGTCACCTAGAGATTTTTTTTATTTCTTTATTTTTCAAATTTGACACAAATGTTCACCTGGACTCAACAATGAATTGATTAGATTTCGTTGGTGAAAGGTCAAGGTCAATGTGACCTTACATCTGTCTCATTCTCTTGAATGCAATATCTGGAGAAGAGCTTGAGGGAGTTTCCTCAAATTTGGCACAAAAGTCCACTTGGACTTAAGAATTAACTGAATAGAATGTGTTTGTCAAATGTCAAAGGTCAAGGTCACTGTGACCTCACAAAACATGTTTTTGGCCATTTCTCAAGAATTCATATGTTAATTATGACAACATTTTACACAAGTCTCTAATAGGAGAGTGCTGACATTTGTGTCATGATGATGATCAAAGGTCAGCTTCACTGTGACATCATAATGTTCTGCAGAAACACTTTTCTGGCCATTGCTCAACATTGTAACTCAGAAACAGAAGGGGAGACATTTGGTCAGATACTGAATTGGCATTTTCGGAACCCATCGGCTGTATTCGGCGTCAGACCCCCGATTTTTTGGCATTCCGGTTTGATTTGGGCGAAGGAGGCAAATTTCCATTTCTGACTTCTGTTTATATATAAGTAAGTAATTATAATCAATACTAATACTATCATTGTCCAACTGTAAAGTGGTAAAAACACTCTCAATATAACACACATTTAAACCAATATTGACTTCTTTTAATGCGGGACTTTTTTTTAGGTGCTTCAAATCCGTTTTGTTGCAGACTCCTTTATAGCAGTAGCCTAGCTTCTGTGTTGGACTCCAGCCTGCTTCTCCAAACTGAAGATGTGCTGACTGACATCTACTGTTTGTAATATACTGTCTATGAATAAGTACCCCATACAACCCTACTTCAAAAAGTCTGAACTATCCTTTAACCCATGTGTTTTGATGAGATGCTCCCTCTTTGTTAGTGTAACCATAGGCCTGCTGTATGTGTCATAATGACAAAATTACCATTAAGCATCGTTATCACACTAAATAAAAGAATATGTACTGTTTTATGTGTTATGCTGGCAATGAATGTACAATTCTATTCTTTTTGTTTACCGCAAAGTTATCCACGGCCTAAAAAATGTACGGTATCCTACATATTGAAGTCATTAGTGTTTGAGCCCCAGAGAGGTCCAAGTCTCTGTTTTAAATCTTTATAATAATAATTTAAATAGACTTTTTGTATCTTTGGAGGTAAGTGCTGTGTAGGTCTGAGAGGCTAGTGTTTTTAACTAGTGTTCAGCTCATTTTACACATCATGGGTTCAACATCATGTTTAAAAGCATTTCTTCTAGAATGAGGAAGAGTTGTGGTGATAAAACAATGTTTTTTTATGTTTTATGAGCTGTTAAAGAGATCCTGTGGTGGGTGGGGGTGTGGAATTTGTAGTAAGAACAAGGCTACATGCAGATGTGTGGCACTTGAAAGTCAATTACAAGTATCATGTGCCCACCACAAACACCTCTGATTTTTTAAAAGTACCACACAGTGACAACAACAACAACAACAACAACCCTTTTTTAAATCAAAAATGTAAAAGTCAGCACTGGGACTAAGGGAAAGGAAGAAGGTGGGGGAAAGGGGGCAGGCATGTCAAATACTTTCTGAAGCACTGGAGAGAGACTTGTGTTTTCTTTTTTGTTTGTTTGTTGTTTTGGCCTAGGAGAGGGGGCATATAGAATCAAATGGTTGTATTTTGTATTTATTTTACCACCATTTAAAAAAAAGAAGTTTAAAAATGGCCACAATTACACCATTTATCATAGCCAGAAATTGTAAAAGAGAAATTATTGTTGGATTTTCAGATGCTCCTTTGACACATCATGTCTGACGAATGCTGTCAATAAATGAATGAATAAATAAATAATCACATCTGAGCTTTAAGTAGTGATATGTCATCAAAATCATTTTATGTGTAGTTTCATTTAAAATTTGGCCAAAATATAGAAACTAACCAACAAGAAAAACCAGGACTTTTTTTTTTACTTTAAAACATCATAGGGTAAGTTTATAAAATCTAATAACTAATTTTCGGTGGAGGGAAGGTCATGCATTTTCCTCCAGCCACTCAGGGAGGCTTAAGGAAAAATATCTGTATCTTCGCAGAGGGTCAAAATATAAAAATAGAATAAAATAGATTAAAACTCACAACCCAGCCACCCCTATCTCTCATACATAAAGAACAGTCCCTGTTAGATAAGGAGCCAACAAACAAGCAACTTTGCTTGTTGTAGAGTTTTTAGTGGAGGGAACTGTGTGCGCTCTGTGGTCCTTCCCTGGCTGCCAGCTGGCTAACTGAGCTGACAGCTCCACCAGCAGGACTGCATTCAAAATGTTACTGTAGCACAACTACAGTATTATCAAGTACAAATATTATTAGCAAAGTTTACTCAGAGCATTAAAAGTATTAAAAGTTATCCAGAATATTAAAGATGACATACACTGATGGAATGATTCGGTTCACGAGAATGAGACCAATGCTAAGTCACACTGACCTTGACCTTTGACACCTATGACCACCAAAATCTAATCAGTTTGTTGTTGAGTCCAAATGAATGTTTGTGCCAAATTTGAAAAAAAAAATAATATATATCTCATATCAAACTCACAAGCATGAGACAGACAAGGTCAGTGTGACATTTTGATGTTATGTGTGTGACCGATGCTGGAGATTTAACAAGTAGCAGTTAGCAGTTAGCGGCTAACACAAAGAAGAAGAGCAGCAACCATAAATGTCCACAAATTGGGGAAACAATGAGGTCTGCGAGCTCCTTACTCTCCGAGCAGAGGTCGGGATCAGCCGCCATGTAACAGGGACGGTAAATTATGGTTATTGCCATGTTTTGCCAATGTTATTGTTTGTTAAGTGCTGCCAGTACATATGTTTTATGTCACACTAGAAGCCAATGCTGCTGTGTTACATGTCACATCCATCACATCTCTTTTGATTCCGCAACGCCGCATGCTTTCTATGATCACACACTGGAAGGGAATGATGCCACCGTCAGGGTTTCCATTATCTGGTTCTTGACCCGGAAAATCTGCTTAAGTCCAACATATTCAAATCTTTGAAGTCATCATGTCCGGTAAAATTATTTTCCTATGGGAATGCGTAAGCCTAATGACATGTCCAAACAAAAAGCAAGCCTCTCTGTCCACACTGAATCAGTTAAATATGCACTTCTATTCCATCATTAAAAACGAACTACCTTACCTCTCAGCTATGCGCTTGTTTAAACAAACCATGTATAGACATCAACTGTGCCGGAATGAGTCTTGTGTGTAGTTTTGTTTTTCCATTTTTTTATTTTTGTTGTTTCACAAGACAGATTTTGAAAAATTGGAGTAAACTCTTAATCAGTTATCTTAATCTTAATCAGTCTCTCTTTTTTAATCATAGGGGTTGGTTATGTTTTCTTTGGTAAAGGCGAATGACAGGAAACTGAAGCTCTTTTCATAAGAACAAGGAGAGTTCAACCAGCTGTTGTCATGGCATGTGACGCCTCTACATCATTTTATACTGTCCACATTTTCTAATGTTTGAGTGTTTGTGCCTCTGTCTGTGTGTGTTCGTTTTAGAGCTGAGGAAGGCAGACGAGTGTAAGAGCGAGGAGGCGTGGCAGGAAGGGGAGGAGTCAAGCTCAGAGCTGGAGGACGAGGAGGAGCACAGACAGAACAGCGAAGCTGAAGAGGAGGAAGACGAGGAGGAGGAGGAGGAGGAGGAGGAGGGAGAGCACACGCAGGACGACACTCATGACCACATGCCGGTATGTTGTGTGTGTGTGTGTGTGTGTGTGTGTGTGTGTGTGTGTGTGCGGTCTGGATCAGCTGCACTTGTGAGGACTCCTGTCAGTGTAGTGCCTTGTGAGGACCTTTGGACGTCCTCACAGTGAAAAACTCATGTAAGAAACAGCTGTGAACAACCAGAGTAAATACTGTACATTGCCATTCCAGTAACGTCCCTGAAATAAAATCAATCAGTCTTCCTGGCATTGATGGAAGCTCATAGCCTTCAGTAACTAAATCCAGTTTAGAGCTAACTGAATTAGTCAAAGTCACTTTTCAGCACCACTTCATTCCAGCTTCTCAACTATGAGAATTTGACACTAATTCATAAGGATTTGGACAGTTAACCATATAAAGCAATAAACACTTTCCTGACCAAATTATTAATTAATCAAGAAAGATTCCAGTCCTGTTACTTTCAATTCCACGGGTGCAGTAATCAGGCTGGGAAAGTCTAACTTACTATCCAACTTAACTCTCTGTTCTTAGTTCATCAGTTTGCAAGCTGAACTGAATCTTCAGCCATTTTTCAGTTCAGTGGGTCGAACTACACATCTTTTTAATGAATGAATTCTAGGGATTCCATACTCTGAAAAGACTTGCTCTGTCCATCACTATAATGGAGGTAAAATCCCACAGCAGCTGCGCAGGGAGGAAAACAAACACTGTCCTTTATCTCCTGACTTATTATGTGGGTCTATATTACAGGCACAATGTTGGTACAGCAGGTCAAAAAGCGACTGTTTGCTTGATGGATTCTTTGTGGTGTTTTATGTAAAATAGTGCTTTTTAAAATGCAGTACTTGAAAGCTCATAATACCTTCCCATCATAGTTCACAATTTTCCAATATGTTTAATGCTCTGCTGTACAACCCCAGCAGCAGTGTCCCACCGTCTGACACGACACACTGTGAGGACAAAAACAGGGCTCTGCAGAGCACCTTCCACAGCATGCGAACACGCCGTCTGCGGTCATTTTGACTTGACCAGCAAACTTTACAACAAGCTGATTGGCTGTAGAAACAGGTGACAAGCTTTACATTCTAAAAACCAACCGCCAGCGATTTGACCAGCGGAGCTGCAGGTGACACCATCAGCCGAGTCGAGCTCAGACCGGCCAGTTCACACCACAGCAACTTTTGTCTGCAACTTTTTCCTCTGGTTTCCTTCAAACCTTTGGTCTGATCTGGGCTTTAGATGCTTAGATGACCAAAAGCTAAAATAGTTGTTTAATTTTGTTGTTGTGTTTTAGTTTGCCAATTTTGTTGCAAACGCCTGGAAGAGAAGGCGAGAAAGTTTGTTTAATGAGCGCTTATTTTAGTTTCTTTTTTCAGTGCTACATGATAAATGCTTTTATGAGTGACCTACAAACTTGGTCTTTCACAATAATGATCTGATTATATACGATGCTTTTTTCTGCTTTGTCTTTTTTCTTTTCTTTTATTGTTATCTGAAAATTTATAAGCTGGACTCTGGTCCTGGCTTGCACATGGTGTCTTGTAAGCCCATGTGGGCTGGGCATGACACAATAATAATAATAAAAAAAAAAAATCATTTGTTCAACCTGTTGACATGTGAAATGTTACAAACTCATATTCTCTGAGCATTCAACAACTTCCCCAGTCCTCTGTTGCCCCTGCAACTTTTTTCTAACTTGTTGTAGGCAACAAAAAAACAATCAGTTTGAACACTGAAAATCTTGTCTGTGCTGTACTCAATTGAAGAAAGGTCAACAAGGCTTTGCAAATCTGTTTTTATTTATGTTTTACACAGTGTCCCAACTTTTTTGCATTGGGGTTGAATTTGTTGTTTGTGGAATATGAAGTATTTTGATGGGCTCTGCTGTCCTACTGTCATAGACTACAAATGACAGATGAACTTGGTTTGACTCTCCAGAGATTCTCAGTAAATAAAATTAAAATACTCTGAATTCCAGCCTCTCTCTGTTGCACTTATGTAAGCTAAAATTTCACATGATCATAATCTGAGGCCAATTGCACAGAATATTTGGGTAACTGCAGTACATATTTATGTGTATGTGTTCTGACTCTGGTCTCTTCTCCTGTTATTTTGTGCAGGAGAACAGTCGCCTATCATCAGAGATGGACTCCATTCACCCATGAGAGGTGAGTGTGTCTTTATGAAGTCAGGTTGCTTTTTAACACACCAAACTATGAGACCAGTTTGTCTTTCCCCTCTTTCCTTGTATCCAAATACAAGCTGAGTTCCCCCCAGCGTTCCTCTTTGCCTTTACTGTTATGGCATTAAGTTCAAGACACATTGCAGCTGTGTTCAATTATCTTTTTCCCATCTCAGTTGTCCAAAAGACAAAAGAAAAACATAAAACATGCACAAACATGCACAAACATGCACGTTTAGCAGCTGCCATTTAAAATGGTCTTTATGCACTGTGAAAGCACCCGCATCTTAGAAACGTGCCAGCACAGTAAAGTGAACCGATATAGAGTAAAGTTTATTGTCCATAAAGAACACTCCATATGACTGAAGAAACCTTATCAACTTAAAGTCCTCCAATAAAAACTTTTGCCTCCTGGCTGATGTAACAAGGTCTCAAAGAGAGCAGAGCAGTGACGTCAGTCCAGATTGATATCAGACAGGTTTGAAATAGTCTGAAGTCATGCTTTCATATCAGACAGAAATCAGCCTCGACTTCACATAATTTTAACTAAACTTCAATGATGGAAACATAAAAAAATTAATGTTTTGTATCAGTCATAGTCAATATTTTAAAACTTTGATAAAGAAGCAGATAGATCGAACTGAGATTTTGACGTATTTAACCAGGAATGAATTGCTGAGAGACAAGTTTTCTCTTTCAGGACACACTAACATACCGTCCAGTACAACCACTGACCTGCTGGCCACTGAGCAGCAGTGTTAAGCTGAAAGCACACCGGCATACGTCACATGCTGCCTCTAGCACACACTGGACACGTCACAGTGCAGCTTGTCAACAGATGACCATGCAAAGTTATACCTTTACTGAGAGATCTGTACTTCCTCCCCCTTTCCATTAGTTTAAAATCATGTGTCGAGAGCCTCTAATTACAGTTGATTTCTCACCGATCTCCAGAGGTATGACTTGCCAGGCAAAATCTTTTTGGCCACTGTCTTTATAATGATGGGATTGAGGGTCGTTAAGCTCGGGATATTTCTTGACCCCAACAATGAGTCTCTCGTCATCCATTCTTTGTCACACATGAGACACAGCAACAGAGTTCTCTTTATGCATCCACGGTGAGGAGAGGAGTCAAGCTGCTGTAGGAGCAGAGAAAAAGAGCTGCTATGGGAGCTGGTGTGTACAAGCAGAGAGCTAGTGGTCTAAAAATGCATTTAATTCTGGGGACGGCGAGGCTGGAAATAGGACAGAGGCGTTAAGTGCAGAGTTGGGTAAGTAATACTTTAAAAGTAATGAAAGTACTTTACTGTGTTACTTTATTAAGACGTAACCAGTTACTTTACTGCGTAACTCCCTGAGTAAAGTAACTCAGTTACTTTAAAAGTACTTCCAACGTTACTCCCTGAGAAAAGTAACTCAAGCACTTTTAAAGTACTTTTGAGTATTCTACATTTCCTATTGGGCAATGGACCACAGGGCGCTAAGCCTACATTTTTTGTCTCCAAAATTAAAGTTATGGACCACTTGCCCTTCACTGAGATCCAGTTCTCCCATCACAGCCGTCACTTTGACCAGTAGAAACACAGAACGATCTGCTGCCGTAGACAACTGTATGACAACAACACCCCAGCGTTTTTAATATTTCCTCTAGGGATGTTACCGCACAGAGTAAAAGGGGGAAATGATGGTGTGAAACAGCAGAGGCACTTTGTCAACCCGCTGAGTTAACTTTACTGTCATTAGCATCAAGCTAGCAAACAATGCTACATCCTCACGTTCGGACATAAAGTAATAACATTAACAAATAGCGGCGGGGCTTTTACTCACCACAACTGCAGAGGCTCCCAGCTTCATTCGAAACAAACTACATTATAGACGGTCTGTTATTTATTAATCTCTCTGTGTGTTTACATATTTACTTTTTATCCGCTCCGTTGTCTTCGTAAAGTTAACACATCGTGTCGTCATTTCAAACTCAACACTTCCTGATTTTCTTTCAAATTAAAAGCCCCTTATAACCTTGGCTGAGGGAATCTCTCCATTTTCTAAATAGGCTTTTATTGTGATTTATTTGTCAGAACTTCCTGTGGAAGATACAGTAACTTGAATGTTTGCGTACGGTGCTTAAAATGAAGCTCCTGCCATCTGCTGACGCTTTTAGGTGACTACAACAACATGTCGGCTGGCACATGAACAGACACAGTGACTCAAATAATAGTAAAAGTAATAAAAATAGGACAAGAATAACCTGATGACATCACACACGCCGTGAAAGATGACCAGGGATTATTGGTGTGGACCATGGTATAGTGTGTCATGTCTGTCGGCCAAGTCTCGGCACGATTTTATGAATCCACAATCGTGTAATGTGACATGTGACTTTCAGAACGGACAGAAAAGTCGTGTAGCGTGTACCAGGCATAATGCAAGTCCTGAGTCTGACCTGTCTGTCAGTGAGTCCTCTTCCACCTTTTTTTTAGACTCCACCGTAGACAATGGCAGCATTTCTCCGACCACGTAGCGAGCCACAAGCTCTGTGGCTTCTTTCAGACTGATAGGTTTAAAATTATCTCCGTTATTAGAACCAAACAACAGCCGTTGCTGTTTCGGAGCTGAAGGACCAGCGTTATAAAACTAACGGAAGTAACTGATGGCTTGTAGAAAATGTACTCAAGTATTTGATTACTCAAACAGCAAACTAACGCGTTAGGTTACTCATTACTGCAAAAACTAATCAAAGTACTCTACCCAACTCTGGTTAAGTGCCACAAGGCAGTGCATCCAAGAACGCTGATGCGTGTCTTGCCGCCCCTGTTGTGGGGTGTATTTCTTGAGGCACGGTGTTTGCCCTGCTGTGTTTTGGCCTTTAATTTTGGAAGCTTATTTAGATTTAGTCTTAGTCTTAAAACAAAAAGGCTTCTACGTTTAAATCACATTTTAGTCATTTTTATCCTTCTTAGTTTTGGTCTTGCCTAATTTTAGTCCATGAAAAGTCATGGTATTTTAGTTAACTTTTAGTCAAAATGTTTTCTACTTTTAAACTAAGATAACAGGTTGTATCATGGGTTGAAATTTAATTTCAACATACTTCCAACAACTACAAATAATTTCAACACGTCTACAAACTTGCAGCAGAATGTTTGCTCAAAACTCAAATCTCAAACTCTGAGACCATAGATAACTAATTTGAGACAACTAGGATTTGTACCCAGACTCACTATAAACTCTGACTTAGAGACATCACTGTTAAGAAGAGCAAAAATAACTTTCAACTCATTTTGTCTTCAACTTTTAACTTTAAAACATCAAAGGGTTAGAATTAAAAACATCTAATAACTAATTTATGGTGAAGGGAGGGTAATGTATTTTCCCCCAGTCACTCAGGGAATCTCAAGGTAAATTATTTTTAGACAAAGACAAAGAAAACAAAGTGACACTACAGCCACTCCCCTCTTCTGATAAATAATAAACAGTCCCTTAGCATTTATTAATTGAACAATGTGTCGCTGCTTTTCAGTGATGTAAGGAAATTTCCTATATGTCCTAATTTCTTACGGAAAGAAAACATACTTATACACACACACACACACACACACACACACACACACACACACACACACACATACATACATACATGCACACAACCTGATATTCAGAATTTGGCTTGAAGAACATTCACAACACAAAGTCAAAGGTCTGGTTTTGATTGAGCTCAGATCGTCTGCAGCTGACACTGTGTGAGTTCCTCTTCATTATCATCATGTCATGTTTTGTATTACTCAGATTTAGTTGTTGTGTGTGAAGCTGGGGAACAAGCTTGTTAGATTTCCATTCACTCCAGATTTTTATTTCATGCTGTTACTGAGTTTGGAAGATGGATGTTTTGGTGCTGTCGTTTTCATGAGTAAAAAAAAGATTTCTTGATTAAAGACAACTTTGTTACTGTTGAATCTTTCATATGTTATTTATAATGATTTCAGCACAACAACTGAAAACTCTCCTTGACTGAACAGACAGAGCAGTCTCAGCAGAGGAAACCACAAATTGTCAGCAAAAAAGCATTAACAAACTTTTCCTGAGGTCTTTTGTTTTGAGGTCTTTGGGTGAATGCCTGCACACTAACCACAAGCCTGATTTGATGAAGATCCCTAAGGGACTAAAACTTGTCTCTTTGAATCAACTCTGGCCCATCTTTCAACATTTAAAAGAAATCTGACATCTGGATTTAAATGCGGACAAGGAGTCTGTTTCCCTGAAACTGGCAGGAAATTTATCAACTAAACAAACCCGCTGATTTTTATGTAAGGTCTTAAACACAAGCACAAAGTTATATTTTTGTAATTGACCCCACCGGCTTGTGTTTGATTTAGTGCACAGATATCAGTGAGAAGGGGGCCCTCTGTGTTTATGAACCAGGACCTTATCAGCATCTCTCCATATACCTGAACATCTAAGCTAAACAAAGAGGCAAATTGCTTTGGCAAGAAACTTAAAAAAAACAAACTTGGCCTCTTTGTTGCTGCTCAGCATACCAAGGTCCTCCACAACGGTGGATTTAAGTCCAGTTCATGAACTTGAGCACACCACTCAAGATTAAACCAAATAAGCTGTTTTCATATTGCTCCCTGAAGTCAAATTCATTTTTTACTGTCTGAGGTTGAGGCCGTTCTGAGAATTCCTGCTGCTTTTATGGAGCAGGACGCCATAGCTTTCTTGGGCTTATATTATTTCAAGACTGTGCTGCAAAGTATGATGACTTTATTAAGCTTTTACATGTAAAACACAAGGTCAAGTTTGTTGTTCGAAAGAAATTGTGAGTATTTGGCAATAAATGAGGTGTTTTGATTTTCATTGATGTTTCAAGTTCAGTTCCTTAATGAACTTGTGTCAAGTATAAGTGATTAAAACACACAAAACAAGGTATATAGTGTGCCAGTGGAGGAGCTCAGACAGGTAGGGGGGAACCAGGCTGTGGGGGGCTTTATAGGCAATTAAGA